ATTGGGAAAACTGTAAAATAAAATTCATCCACATTTGTTTTCACGCATATTCTAGATCGTACGTAAAGCTCTTCTCAATTTGATTTGGGAAGACTTAATTTGTCTAATTCGATGGCTTCTCATCAAACGACAAGATTTAAAAATATAGGCGGGGTTGTTTAATTTAACAAAACGTAGCTCCCTGTGGGAGTGGTTATAAAAATCCCGATTTACGTAAACTACGTCTAAAAACCTTTACATCTCGTAAAATGTTAAATGAACAATAAAACTTTTAGTATGCATTTCAACATTACAGCAACCCTTATAGGAAGTGGCCATTTCCATGTACTTAAGCGGTTTGTAGCCGTTTCGATATAAAAAATGTGGGTAATTTAAAAAAAAGCATTTCTCAATAAAAGAAGCACGTTTTATTTAATGAATTAATATTCCAGTGTTTTATTGGAAAGTCTTTGATATCGATAGGATCAAGTATCATTATTATCATTAGCCTATTAATACACAGGCTTTCCCTACAGTACGGATCGAATTGTATTGAATGGGGAACCACAACCCTGCATATAGGCCCCGTGCGGATCAGTAGGCCCGCAGATACAAAAGGGACTTTGACCAGCTTTTGACCGGCTTTACGAAAGTTGCTCTCTCCTCCTTCTTTGCCTCAGTTTCACAAACCGAACACATTAAGCACTATGCCAGCGAGTTCCTGATGCGACATCTAGCTCCTCAGATACTTAAGAATATCCTAATTTTCTTTTTATGAAATTAGAACTTTAAAGCTGGTCACGACAGGAGAGAACATCCACTCTGAAAGTGCATCCAAGATATATGGTTTTATACATTAGCTACAAAATTATATCGTCGGCTAGGCGCTACCACTAAGTAGGGAGAATGTTCAGCAAAGTCTTTATATTTGGGTAGAGATCATCACATTTAGGAAATTGATATCAGCAAACCAAAAAGTGCATCATGGGTAAGGAGCCATTTTTTTATTTTGTAAATGTTTAAATGATTTTCAATTACACTTTACAATTTTTTACATGATTGTTATTTAATTGAAATATCAATAATGGCAATACTTTAATTGGGAACAAAGTGCTAATATTAAAACCGTATAAAGGAACTTGCATAAATGAAAGCAACTTCTAAAATAAACGACTATCTAATCTACCCGTAAAGCTTGAGAGTAAATAAGCTCGCCTTCTCTTTAAAAGTAAATTAACATAAAATAGACCATATTTCTTACGAAATAATGCCCTAGGGCGAGTTAAACGAAGACTGACAATATTGGAAAGGAAAAAACTGAATGTTTTTTATTTATCTCAATTTGAATGTCATAGTTAGTCCCTGTTGGATGAAAGTTAGCTATTCGATACAACTTTTTTATAATCTTGGAAACATCTAAGTACGTTTCTGTAGTACGAGTAGATTGTATTAAAATAATCGTAGTATTATATTAAAGCTTTTTATTTTGTTTGGAATTTTATTTAAAATAAAAATATATTATTTTCATTCTTCTAATAGGGATCCTTTCTGGGGAAAAGCCTCCTCCAATTTATTCTTATCCATTTTTCACATCTTGTGCATTTTTTATCTAATCTTTTCCAGTTATATTATGTCATCTGTGCTTCGTTTCTTTGGTCTGACTATTTTCTTTTCCTTTTTGGACGTGCCCACTTAGTTTTTATAGTTCATCGATCATCCATAAGTCTCGATTAGAGGCCTGCCCAATTCCGTTTAAGTTTAAGTGCATGTACGAAATCATTTGTTATTTTTTTTGTGTCGCTTTTCTTTTGTTTTTTTGAGTTTCAAAAAGGTTTTCAAGAAAACTCCTTTCCATAGCATGTTGATACTTTGTTCTTTACTTCACTAGATCAAAAATTAATAAGTGTTGAAATAGAAGTCTTTGATTATATGAAACAGTGTCACTCAATCACAGATAAATAAAGCACAAGAAAAGGCGAAAATGAATGCAATTAACTATGCAATTAACACGTTTTGCCAAAAACTAGTGTAGAGTATTTAGGGTTAATGAAAGTACGATTTCACTAGGAGTTTCTTCCACCGACTTACCTTAACAAATAACAAACACGTTAGAGATCTTATAAAGTAAATAATGAGTTGTCCCATTTGACGTTATAAGTATAACTTTAAATGTTAATTATAACCGCTCAAGCCCCGTTGGTTAAAGTTATTTTTTTACTATGCCCAGAAAGAGGATAGTCTAATCCACCCTAATGTTAAAGTCAGGGTGACAGTTATCATCAAATGCAGAGACACAAGCGACAACCAGGAGATTTAGTTTTTGAATCATTCATCTCGCGTTCTCCAGCTGTCGTTTTCTACTGATTTTTGTCTGATTCGCTCGACTGCAATGAGTGGTATGAATCACTCGTTGTTTAGCGAACGTTGTATGCGCATACATCGAGTCATAAAACGTTGAAATGAATGGACATATGACGTTTATGACCGTTTTCAATATTCAAATTTTTTAAAATCATGTTCAAGGATTGGAATAAATTGCCAGCCTTCGATTATAATGTAAATGTCTTCAAATTAAGAGTGAATAGGCTGTTACTAGGTTAATGCACTATACCACCCAAGGTTTCATCATCACTCACCATCAGGTGGGATCGTAGTCAAGCGTTAACCTATAAGTATTAAAAAAAAATGTTGGTCACCCTACAGACGAACGATTCAAAAATACTAAAAAACGACGTCATGCGACTTAAAAGTCAAATATGACTTAGATCGTATACGGCAGATATTATAAACGAGTGAATCAAGAATAGAGCTTCATAGCGCGAGAATTGAGAAAAAAAAATAGAAAAATAACTTTCATTAGGGCCATATAAACGGCTAGATGACCAAAACATTATCATCTTGAGCTCCTTCGTGCTTAAGAATTCACGTTAAGCCGTTGGTCCCGGCTGCATCAGCAGTCGTCAACACCCACCAATCCGCACTGGGCTCGCTTAGTAAATTATGGCCCAATGATCCTATTGAATTCGATAGGAAATAACGAATTCTCCTAATTTACTATCCCATGCCGACGAAGCATAGCTACTCTTTAATATACCTATTGAGTGCTTCAATATAATTCAGGTGAAATTGGTAATATATACTTTATTAATATTATGAACGGGTAGCCATATATATGTTTTGCCCTTTTTTCATGTCGATTCGCAACATCTTTGTACTATATTTTTTAATGGATATAGTTGGGAAGTCAAAGCTATTTTATATTCAATTATTATCTAACATACTTTTACAAATGATAGGGAACAGGACGAAAAGACAGATGTCACACTAATTATAAATATAAATATTGAGCAACATCACAATACATTATGGAGTATTTGAGACAACGAAGGTACCACAACACCCAGACCCGAGTCAATATTTATTAATTTATTTTATTCGGGTTGACAACAGCCAATTACTACAATTATTGTATTACAACAATTGATGAGCCGATAATAGCCATTCTCGATTTAACAAGCTAACATTATCAAGCATATAATTATTTCACTACACATATCACAATGCTATTCGGACACCTAACTCACATTTAAAATTACAAAAAATTTGGAATATGAGTAAGAGTAAATTTATATAAATAAATATAGAAAAGTTCATTTTCTACATTGACTCTACCGGGAATCGAACTAGAGACCTCTGAGATGGCGACACCTTTAAACCGGCGTGTGAACCACTCGGCTACGGAGGCTATTAAATTAAAATATAAAATTTCAATAAAGTACTTATACACGTTCGTTCACATTGAAAGCCAAGTAGATTTAACAAATATGTCAAAGTCCTTACTTCTACAATATTTGGTTTGAATTTGAATATAGGTGAAATCGTGGGCCACATCTAGTATGACACCAATAATGTTTACATTTTACAAGTTTGTCTACATATAAGTTTTGGTTTCAATTTCGAAAGAAACTAAGATTAGGATTTATTGATATCCTATTTTTAATAGAATTTTAATTTTCACACGAATATAACACAGAATAATGTACATATTTCAACAGTTCATTCAACATTTGCTTGGTAACTCAAATAAATATTCTTAAAGGTCAAAAGAAAGTACCACACAAGAAGAAAAACAAAACTTATGCCATTTCAGTTGGAGCTGCTGTTGATTTAAGTTTGAGATGGTATTCAAGTAATACTTGCTGTTATTTTTATTATGATACATTTTTTCTTGTTAATTAGACTATTTCTTCTTAATTATTTCTAAATTAAAAAAAATATATATATGAATCACTTTTTTCGTTAAAATCTCATATAGTAATCTATATATAAACTTGATTTTACATAAAGGCTGAAATAAAATGAAAATATTTTTTGATTTATTAAGCTTATTGAAATCCATTCAGAACGTCGTTTTGCTAATAAAACGTTTATTATTTTGCAGGTAATAATATTGTATTAACTTGTACAATAATATTAAAAAGATATTTTCTTTTAGAACAATATTAGTGGAAAGGCTTTCATTGTTTATGTGAGTTTAATGTAAGATTAAGGTAAAAGTTTATTTTCTTCAATTTAGCTCGTTTTGATAGCGCGCTACGTGCTTGTAGCAACAAGTTTTATGGTTAATTTAGAAATCCTGTAATAAATTGAAAGAAAGTATAAAAATATTATTAGGGCGATGTGTACTCTAAACTCTTAGTCTAAATCTTTACTTCTTATTTTGAACGTCTATGACATACAACGAATTCTATTAAAAGCTCCTATAACGTCGACAATTTCGACATCAAAACGAACTTTAAAAAAAAGTATTTAGGAAAAATGTGACTGCATTGGATGTATCGACAAATCAGTGCAATACGTTGCGTGTAGTGCGGCCGGTGCATGCGTGCTGAGGCAGTGGATGAGCACCTTAAATCTTGTGCTTGCTAAATATTAATGTTTTATAATACACGTGGTTTATAAATTCTGATGGTGGATATTGCTAAATTAAATTTTATTCTAATGAAGCAGTTTGTACTGACCTGATTGGGTCCGGTAAGATTCAGCCCGCAGGAGTTGCAGCGAAGACATTCCTCGTGGTAATGGTTGTTGTCATACAACGGAGATGGCTCTGCAGACGAAATAAACTCACATTAATTTGTAAACCAACGCTAATAAATCATTATCAGCCCTTTTGCGTCCCCATTGCAGGGGATCAGACCTTATTATTGGTTATGGAACCTAATTGATGGTTATGAAACATGGATTCATCTACATCTAGTTAATTTTATTTGTATTTTATATGTATTTACTTTTAAACATTTTTTCATTCTTCTTTCTTTAGTACGCTAGCCCGCAGTCTCTTTAGTCAATTGGTATAGCTTCTTTTAGCCGAGGGTAGTCTGGTAGTGATTGCCACTTTAGCAATAAGGCGGCCTTTGCATCTATGTATCTAATTATATGTGTTTTTATGTTTCTGTTTTACTGGGCAACAAAATATTTTGATTTATTCATGAGCGGTAGGTATTAACGGTTGCTTTTGCAGGCTTCCGGAACCAACAGTTTAACGGGCATTCCTAAGTACGGAGTTGCTGGGGATAATATTAACGATCACCCATCCCGTAACCTACCCTTGCGAAAGTTGTTTAAAAACAATGATCGCGGGCCGTTGTGCTTGTACACTAAGCCATCGAGTTACTCTTAATACTTTTATGGATATTTAAAATTAATTTCTGGTCAAAATAGATAGATTTTCAAGTATCTACCTCCATAGCCGAGTGGTTCGCACGCCGGTTCCAAAGTGTCGACATACTAGAGGTCCCGGGTTCGATTGACGGTCTGGTCAATGTAGTAAAAGGTATCAGGTCTAGGTGTTATGGTACCTTCGTTATCTCGGATACTCCATAAAACAGGGGCTTTAGTTACTCATCTTGGAATCTGAGCAATGTATGTGATCTGTCTATCTCTCTATCATTTCTCAAACCTTATAATCCTGAAGGCTGTTTTAACTAGCTCATCATCGACTACAAGATCGTTTAGAAAAGAAATACCCTCAACGTGGCCTATATTTGTGAGAAAGCTATCAAATCTGTTTCGTTATCGACATTTGTTCGTTTGAGGCACGTCACTACAACTTTGATGTTCACGGAGGTTGAATAATGCATCCCGCATATATTTGTTTAACTGCACGTGGATATTCTCCGAGGAAATGCATCGTACCTGTGTACGACAAACGATTGTAGTACAGATAGGGGGGGTTATTTTACTCGCGGTTTCGTATGCATCATTTAAACATTTTCTGTCATCAAGGTTTCATTGCTATATTTCATTCATATAATATAACAAGTGGTGTATTAGAAGGCAAATTAAAAAGTTTAAATTAACTGTGCCAGGTAGAATATATAGCTTTTTTTCCAATATCTACAAAACTGGTTTTGTGGCTATTTTTCATTGAATTACCAATCAATAAAATGAGTTTACAAAAGGAGTAATGGAAATGAGCATCAGTTTTGGCTTTTAATTGGAAACTTACGAAAATCGTTTACCTAAAAGTATCGTCTCTTCAAAATGTATTAAGGTCATAGCACACATAAACAGTACAGCTTCAACATTTCGATTTTCTTGACTATTAAATCGTATATTTTTAATGGAAAATGCTTAATTGAAATAAAAAATCCACCACCAGCCCCTACCAATACTCTGAGATGAGATCCACCACCAGTACTCTAAGATGCGATCCACCACCAGTACTCTAAGATGAGATTTGAACCCACGACCGTTCGCAATCCAGGCGACTGCTCTGCTGTCCAGGACCCAACAGGATTAACGAATTTTTCAAGTACTTGTTACTTTTCGCTACTAGTGAGGGTATTTTCATCAATGTTCAGGCAGTCCAACTAAAAATTTTTTTAGCATTTTTCATTAAAAATATTTTCCAGTATAGCATTGTGAACGGCGAATTGATCAAATGTAATATTAAATCGTATGTTATACAACATATTTCATAGCGTCAATATAAAGAAGCTATTGGCAGTTGACAACTTTGTTAGGTAGTGGCCCGCGCGCTTCAAGCGTGTTACCAGCACGCTCTCGGCTAACAATCCACTGGGCGCACTGTCGATAGCAATAACTTATCTCTAAATCTCGGTTATAGAGATATTTTTAATAAGTGTGCTCACGGTGTGAGAGCTTGCACCTAGCGAGCGCGGGCGGCTAGCGTGCTGCCGCTGAGTCGTTTAAATGAGCCCTGCCCTTTTACAAAATAAATGTATATTCAAAACTGAACGCAGTTGTTTTCGTAATGTTCCTGAGGGATTGTGTTTCGAGTCTAACAGCCGAGTACTTTCGTAAATATAATCCCAGCCAATTTCGAAGTATGAATTTCGAACAGACTTTCTGTATTTACCTGTCAAATTATACATCCTTTGAGAAGTTTGTGAGTAAATATATTTAAAAAGTTTTCGTTACTAATACTAATCAAAATTTATAAAATATATTAAAGTTTCATATTACGTTTGGCACAGATACTAAAACTTATTATCGTTTGAGGGACATATAACTAATGTTAGACAACATCACATACATTTCTCAGAAAAAATATTATATCCAAGATCAGTAGTTGAGACCCTCATATTATGGCGTATGTATACCCAGACCCAAGACAATATAGAAAAGTTCATATACTTACTACATTGCCCCGGCCGGGACGGCATGGCACGGCACGGGATGGGCGATCAAAAGTTTGTTGCCTCGAGCTACTTCGTGCTACGAAGGGCCAGCGTGGAGGCTCATGGCGCAGTCGCGAGATATCAGTCAGTAATTTACAAAAAATATCTTAATTTAATAAAAAAAAGTTCTAAGTTGTTTATAGAAAAAATATCATGATTTATGCACCATCGCCGAACCTAAACTATTAATAAAAAAATAAATAAAAATAAAAATTGAATTTATTTTCCTCACAAATACTGGAACATGGTTACATGTTTATTGACTAAACACAATTTATAAAACGAAGATTGCCTGTTCAATTTTTTTTTATTGAAGTTGGACCCATGATCTTTTGCATTATAATTAATTTGTGGGGAAACTCATCAAGGTAAGATTTTTGGGTCGATTCCTAATAGAGGTTAAAAGTTTGTGAGGAAGACCGTCAGTTTTTAAATTAGAAACATAATAATTTATTTTAAGGCTGCTAAAAATGAGAAAACACGTATTGCAACGATTGTGAAAAATTAACCTAAGCTAGGTGTTGAATTGAGTGTTTGTGAGGTTAGCCATCATTTTTAAAGTTATTAAATAATTAAAAAAATATAATTAATTAGCGTCTGTGGAAATTAAAAAAAAAAATGTGAAAAGTTTGTAGAAAAGAAATAAGATATTGAAAATACTAATTCTCGGGGATAAGGCTTCGGAAAAAGATAGTAACGAAATAAAAATAATATGCCGATTATTTTGACAACTATTTGTACAAATAGGTACAAATCAGCTAGAAACTCTCGGAAAAAAGTCATCACTTTTTATTTTTGATAATATTTTATGAAGTTAAGCCCTATCCGATAACTATTATCAGATTTAGAAATCATTTGTAATTTTTCAAACGAAGAAATGGTCACTGGAATCTATACTGTCTGTACACTGAAATCTTTTAAAGTACCCAATGGATTTCAATGTAGTATTAAAGAGGAGCTCGGTGGCGTAGTGGATACGCGCCGCGGCCCGCGATCGTAGTCGTAAAGCAACTTTCGTAAGGGTCGGTCACGGGATGGGTGACCAAAAAAATTATTATCTCGAGCTACTCCGTGCTTCAGAAGGCACGTTAAGCCGTTGGTCCCGGCTGCATTTGCAGTCGTTAATACCCTCCAATCCCCATTGGGCCAGCGTGGAGGGTCATGGCCCATCCTCCTTAACCATCCATAAGGAAGGCCTGAGCCCCTGCAGTGGGGACGTAAAAGGGCTGGTGATGTGTGATGTGATTCAAGAGGAAGGTTTATATGTGTAATATGTACAGAGCGGACAAAGCTGCTAGCAGAAAACCAGTATAAATATATAATAGGTTGTTCAAATTCAACTATCATTGAATATGCATTTCATATTCCATTGATTCCAAGATCATTAAATAAATTACTGACTATCCGATGACATTAATGTACAAAAATCATTATAAGCACAAACATAATTGGGGTAAATAACTGAAAACAATGCTTATTACTCACACTTTGAATACAAAGTGAGTGAAAAGGGCAGAGCGCTAATCATTATTCATTATTTTTCTTTACAAAATTTACGGAAAATTGCTCGGAGCTAAGATAAAAGTTTCCAAACTTTCTTCACTCACTTCGGTTGATATTGATTTAGAATTTTCGAAGTAATTTGTTGCTTTCCAACTTACTATTCTAAATATTACTAGATTTGAATATTGTTGAAGATTCCGCGAATTTACTTTGTATCAAGGTTATTAGCTAAAAAGTTTGTACTTCTTCATTTAAATTATATTGTTGCTCTCAACTTTGACCACAACATTCAAGAAAATCATTGATCTAAGAAATACAATTGTCATTTTACACAGAAAATTATTTCTGTCTGGCAATAATTAGAATCTATAATTTATAAGGATGGAATCGACGAAATTCACTTGGGAAAAGAAAAAACAGTTTTTGTCTTATCGAAGTTCATATTTTTAAGATAAAAATCAGTAAACAATTATTGATTTAGTGAATGACTTACCCTCCAATCCACATTGGGCCAGCGTGGAGGGTCATGGCCCATCCTCCTTAACTATCCATAAGGAAGGCCTGAGCCCCTGCAGTGGGGACGTAAAAGGGCTGGTGATGTGAATGACTTGAATGTACTCATAAAACATTTAAGGGATACTTATGAGACATTATCAATTAACAGACTATTTCTATTTTCTCTATGGATAAGTGCTAAATGTAAATAGAGTACATGATTACGTATATTAAGCAACTTTTGAGATGTGTTAGTATTGGATTTGTGATCGAGCAACTCCATTTTCATTTGATAAATTTTCTTTGCAGACATTTTTAATTAGGATTTGTTACCCTCATTTAACTTTGAATAATTAATGTGGTAAGGTGCTTGATATTTCATATTAGGTTCCGGTATATTTTTAAA